GACGCGACGGACCAACGATAGCCGCTAGCCGCTGGCGGCGGATGCGGTCGATCAGCTGATTGGGAGGCCAGTGCCACTATCATTTTGATGGGTTTTTCTCACGACCCCGAAGCAGGAAAAAGTAAGCCCGGGTCACACGGTCAATAAGTTGGTAATCTATGGAGAGGCTAAAGGTATATCGAGGAGTATTTTTCGTCGAAGTCGAAATTGATGATTGATCGGTTGGTCTGAGACATAATTAGGGAAAATGTTCATATCGATGGTTAAAGTCGAAAATGCGTATCTCAGATTGCGACGTCGCACACTGGACTGGGTTAATAGGAGAAGTGGGGACGAAATCTGGCAACTTTTAATTCTTATATTTTCGAAAACATGAGGCAAGAAAGTTTAAGAGTGGCTCCATTTGTTTTTTTTTTTGTTTTTTTTTATGAAGTCTCCTTTCAGCAAAACACCCCTTAATTGAATTTGTGATGAAAGAAACCTAAAAAATTGAAATTTTAGCCAGAAATTTCACGTCTGATCTCTTTTATTAGCTCGTTACACTGTGCGTCGTTAGTCTCAACCCAGACTTTATTTTTACTCTCTTTTTTTTTCTTTTTCAGTGGAATATTCACCAACAGTTTTTACTGAAATTTTTCGTGAATTTTCCTCACTTCTTCTGATGAGAATCACACAAAATAATGAAAAAATATTTTGATTAATTTTCTTGGTGATGATAAACTATAATCAGAGATTTTTAAACGTTGTAACTGGGCGACATTCTTGCGATTAGGAACTTCGATCTCTGGCTCATTTTAAAAAGAGTACTGTGCTATTAGATTCCTTGTGCAGATAGGTGCTTTTAAGGATGAGCCTAGAATTATCAGTTCCTCATTGCAAAATGCTGTCTAATTAATATGCACATTAACTCTCGCGTTGCGTCGCTCCACTAACGTAAGGGTGTGCCTTGATTTTTGCATGACAAAAAGCATGGATTTATATATAAAACAGGTCTCAAGAGGAAACTAAGATACATTCTTATGTCAAAGGCAAAGGAGCGATTACGATTTAGCCATCAACTTGTTTCAATTATAAACCACAGCTAGCAAAAAATAGCAACGAATTTGCTTTTTTGGATTTAAAGTCACTAAAATTTCGTTTTTCATTTATAATAATTAAAATATCATTTTTAATTAATTTTGATCAAGGCTTGATACTATGGTTTGAAAATTTCACCCTATGAAATAGGACAACCCGTTCGATTACGAATGAATATGGTCATCCTATCGTCCTCTTTGCTCCTCCAGTCAGGCGTCCTCTTATCTCATGTTAAACATTGTATGTCATGCGTTCGTCATTCTTGACCGTTGAAGGCGCGTTTTACAGCCTACTCGAATGTAATCGTTCAATAGTGATTCCTGGCAGCGGCTTGGCTCGTATTTCTTTTTCTTTTTTTCTCAGTGTTTTTCGTGTGGAAAGGTTGGCCGCCCTTTTGAACCCTAAGTGCTCCATGTTTCGACAAGTCAAAATTCTCCTTATGCAGGTACCCTGGCGTGGAAAACTTAAAATTTCCCAAGTACATCTCATAGGAATCTTAATGAATTTCGAAATCTTGATATTTGAACCGCAGAACTCATCCTCTGCCGAGTAGGGAACCCGGTAGTTCTGGGCGATTTCACGCGAAGTGCCCCGGAAGTTTCGCGAGCGGGGATTTTCAATAACAAAGCCCTTGTAAAAGTTGGGCTCCGATAGTTCCACTCCCGAATCCGTTGGTGGAACAAAGAGATATGTAATTCAACGCTGCGAACCGGGGAGGGGGTGGTCGGGAGTTGGGAGGGGGTTGCTAAGACAGGGCCTGTTATCTTAAAAAAGGAGCGCCAACTTTCGGGCGCCTTCTAAAATAATTATCATAAGTAAAACTTTTGACAATAAGTTGTATTTTAGGTTTAAAAGGGCTCAGATAACATTGTGCGCCCGGGGAGCACTCGGACGAATTTAAAATTGGCTCCTGGAGATAATCGCAATTGTATTTTCTCTTGGGTAGTTCGTGCCCACCCCGCCCCTCACTCCTCACCCTCTTGCTGATGCTCTGGTTCCAAATTGCCAGACAGCACTTTCGCCGGACAAGCTTAGGGGAAGAAGAACAACAGAATAAAAAATGTATTTTCTTGTTCTTCTTCCTCTCCTATTTCTTCGGTTTCTTCTTCTTCCTCTTCTTTTTCTCCTGTTGTTTCTTCTTCTTCTTCTTCTTCTTTTTATTCCTTTTTACATTCTCCTCTCATATTCCTTCTGTTTCTACTTCCTCTCCTATTTCTTCTTCTCCCTCTTGTATATCTTCCTCTTCAATGTCTTCTTCAATTTCTTCCTCCTCCACTTCCTCTTCTATTTCTTCGGTTTTTTCTTCCTCGTCTTCTTCTTCTCCCTCTTCTATTTCTTCTCTTTCTTCTCACCCTTCTTCTTCTTCCTCTTCTGTTTCTTCTTCTTCTTCCTCTTCTGTTTCTTCTTCTTACTCCTCTATTTCGTATTTTTCTTCTCTTTCTTCTCATCCTTCTCCTTCTTCTTCCTCTTCTTGTTCTTTTGACCCAGATACAGGCTCTGTTTTTCCATCCGCATTTCTGGAGAAGAATAAAATCATACTCTGTAATATTAAATCACAAGAGTAACGCGTAAAATAATAATAAATATGAAGGGACTGAACAGATTGCCTCTTGCAATGATTTTACTTTTTTTAGCGCTCTGTAATTTCTTCGAACCGAAATTAGATCGAAAATAAACTAAAAGGTCTCTCGCGGACTGGGAAAACATCGCTGCGGCTGTGCTGCAAGAGTGATTTACATGCGGAATAAATAAAGAACTCAGTAATCATAAATTTCGAATACAATAAACTCGTATCCGCACTCAAAAGGAGCACGAAGGACCTTTGGTCACTTACGATCTTTGCTTTGAATCGGCCATCACCGTCTAAGCTAGGCATGAATCGCAGACTTGAGGACTCGGAAAAACAGGAGATAATCCGGTAAAAATGTGCATATTATATCATATTCCCAGTCTCGAGAAACTTTCCAGAAAGTGTCATTGCAATGTCTTCCTAAAAATCTAAATGGCGTCATTTGCTGTGGATGCATTTCTGCTGGAAAAAGTAACTCAATGGTTTGAATTGTAAATGCTTGAACGAATAAACCACGAGACGAAGTATGAATTTAATAAATCTGGTCTAAATTACTTGCTCAAAATTTCTCGTAAAACACGATTTGCGCACGAAAATCGCTAAAATAACTCTCAAGTAACCTCCGATTAATGAGACGGGTCTACTGTTTTCTCTTAAAATTTTCAGATAATTTCGTTCATCATTTGTCACAACACTATAAGTTTTGATGTCAAATACTCCTACCTTTT